CTGTAGGCGGGTATTGTAGTTTCAAGAATGCTTGGTGAAGATCCTGTAGGTGTTTGTCTCTGTCTGAAGGGTTGGAGCAAATGCAGTTGTACCTTAGTGCTTGGCTGTAGACAATGGATCGAGTGGTGTGTCCAGGATGGAAGCTGGAGGCATGAAGGTAGGCATAGCAGTCAGTAGGTTTTTGATATAGGGTGGTGTTTATGTGACCATCACTTATTTGCACTGCAGTGTCCAGGAAGTGGATCTCTTGTGTAGACTGGTCCAGGCTGAGGTTGATAGTGGGGTGGAAATTGTTGAAATCATGGTGGAATTCTTCCAGAGCCTCCTTCCCATGGGTCCGGATGATGAAGATGTCATCAATGTAGCATAAGTAGAGAAGGGGCGCTAGTGGACAAGAGCTGAGGAAGCATTGTTCCAGGTCAGCCATAAAAATGTTGGCATATTGTGGGGCCATGCGGGTGCCCATAGCGGTGCCACTGGTTTGGAAGTATATATTGTCACCAAATCTGAAATAGTGCTATGTGAGGATAAAGTCACAGAGCTCAGCCACCCATTGTGCTGTGGCATCATCAGGGATACTGTTCTTGACAACTTGTATTCCATCTATGTGTGGGATGTTGGTGTAGAGAGCCTCTACATCCATGGTGGCTAGGTTGGTGTTTTCTGGAAGATCACCAATGCCTTGTAGTTTTCTCAGGAAATCAATGGTGTCTCAGCTATCTAGCTGGGAGTGCTTGTGGCATAGGGTCTGAGTAGAGAGTCCACATATCTTAATTTTCTGGTCATCTCTACTGCATATTTGCCTTTAAGAACAGAGCATAGCTAGTTCACTGTTAACATGCAGAGCACAGTTTCACCCTTGTGGGTCTTTGGCAAGTGTACAAGAACCTAACCAATTCATTTCCATTCTCTGAAAAGAGGAAGACACTCTCTAGGGTGACTAGAACAGAACTGTAGCATAATCTGAATAAAGACTATAGCTAGCTAGAGAGAATACTGACTAATTTAATTAAATGTGTTACACGGGGTTTTCATGCAAGAAAAATCCAGGGAAGATTCAAAAAGACAAACTGCAAAGCTACACTGTCCATTTGACTTAGTGGGGTCTGTGAAATATTAACGCACTTAAATTATCCTGGACGTTTGGCAAGAAGAAGGAACTTCTTGCAATTGAAGTTTTTGATTGCATTTGGTATCTTCGTCAATCAAAATGGAATAAACTCAATCACTTCATTCGTTCTCTTATTTTCATACAATTTCATGGAACTGGACTATAAGAAATCAAACAGCAGACCAAACCAGTGGCCCATCCACTCCAAATGCTTCAGAGGACAGAGCAAGACACCTCACAGTGGACAATTATGGAATAACCTGGCCATTGAAAAAGTTTCGTCCTAATCACCATCCCTCAGTGACTGGTTTATGCCCTAAAGCAGTGGTTCCCAACCTTTTTTATACCACGGACTGGCAAACCCATTCACAAACTTTTGGCAGACCGGTAACAGTTTATTTAAATATTTGCATATTCATTATATGTGGTGGGCCACTGCCACAGCTGTTCACGGTGGCTCTAGAAGCCAGTGCTGGGGTACGCCCTGGCTCCAGAGCCCCCCAATGCCAGTCCTAATCCCTAGAATCCCCCACCCCTTCACTACCCTCTAGCACCAGCCACTGACCTCATAATCCCCTGCACCCAACCCTCTCAGTGCCAGCCTCCCACCCTCAGAGTCCCCCAGTACCAGTCCCCCATCCCAAATGCCTCAGTGCCAGCCCTGCCCCTTAGAGCTTCCCACCACCTGCCCCTGCCCCAGTGCCAGTCTCCTGTTTCCAGAGCCCCCTGTACCCAACATCCCAGAGCCCCCCTGGGCCAGCCCCCAGTTCCCAATATTAGCCCTAACCCAAGCCCACTAGTGCCAGCCCTACCCTGCAGCCCCCCACTACTAGCTCCACTCCAGAGCCCCTGAGTGTCAGCTCCCCATCTCTTAGGTTACGTCTACACTGTGGGTTTTTTGCAAAAGAGGTGCTAATGGGTGCTAATTTGTATATATCATGCTCTCATTTGCATAGCTTCTTTCAGTCCTTTTTGCGGAAGCAGTTTTTACAATAAAAAGCCTTGTGTAGACAGGGCCATTTGTCAGAAAAAAACCCTTTTGTGCAAGAGCCTGTAAACCTCATTTTTTGAGGAATAAGGGATCTTACGCAAAAGGGTTTTTTTCCGCCAAATGGCCCCAGATGATGAAAATGACTCAGATGATGACAATGAGCATGCATCAGTCCACATTGCTTTGGATTGTTACCAAGCAGCAGTGGTCCCCAACGTGGTGCCCGCCGGGGCATTTATGTGCGCCCGTCAAACGATCTGGGCCAGCCCTGCCCTGCCCCGGGTGCACAGCGCATGCGCGGTACCAGCCTCGGGCATGTGGCGCATGGGTGGCCCCTGCCGCAGGCACGCAGCACATGCGTGGTACCAGCCCCGGGCGCCCAGCAGCCCCAAAAGGTTGGAGACCACTGTCAAGCAGAAACCATCATCAGCATAGATGCATGTCCTCTGGAATGGTGGCTGAAGCACGAAGGGGCATATGAATCTTCAGTGCATCTGACACATAAGTATCTTGCAATACCAGCTACAGCAGTGCTACATGGATGCCTTTTCTCACTTTCAGATAAACTTAAAAAACAACAAATAGCCTGGTAGCACTTTAAAGACTAACAAAACATGTAAATGGCATCATGATATTTCGTGGGCAAAGCCCACTTCATCAGATGACTGGAGTGTTGGATGTCCAGAACCAAAAGATGACATTGAACTGGGCAGCTTTATCTCCTGCAAATTGTAACCAGACTTGTTTGTCTGAGTGATTGGCTGAACAAGAAGTAGTACTGAGTGGACTCTAAAGATTTATATTGTTTTATTATTGAATGCAGATTTTTTGTACATAATTCTATATTTGTAAGGTAAGATTTCATGATAAAGAAATTGCACTACAGGCAGTCCCCAGGTTACACGGATCCGACTTATGTCGGATCCGTACTTACGAACGGGGCTTTTCTCGCCCTGGAGGACGCGGGCGGCGGGACCGCCCAGACGTGCCGCGGTCCCACCACCCGCGTCCTCCGTGGCGAGAAAAGCCGCTCCGCATCTCCCTCGTCTGCTGGGGGGGGGAGCAGGGGGAGCGCAGCTAGCGCGCGCCTCCCCACAACAGACCAGTCTTTTCTCGCCGACGCCTGGGGTAGAGAAGCTGGGGGGGGGCCCGGGTGGGGCCCCAGGCTTTGCTCTGCGTCTCCCTGGTCTGCTGGGGGGCCCCGCCCCAGCAGAGCAGGGAGACGCAGAGCAAAGCCGCGGAGGACCCAGGCGGAGGACCTAGTTTCATGAGGCATACCTGCGCAGTCAACAAAGGCTTCCTTGTCGACCATGGCGTGTCCAGACTGCCCCGATCTGCCGACAAACAGCTGATCATCAGCTGGACGGCAGAGCACAGCAGCCATTTAAATTTAAATGAAGCCACGATTATTTAAATCGCGGCTTCATTTCCCTCTGCCGATCAGCCTAATCTACATGGCTCCATTGATGGAGCCATGTAGTTTAGACACACCCCTACAGTCCTCAGCTAAAACCTCTCCAACGCATCATCAGTGATCTACAACCCATCCTGGACAATAATCCCTCACTTTCACAGGCCTTGGGAAGCAGGCCAGTCCTCGCCCACAGACAAGCCGCCAACCTGAAGCAAATTCTCATCAGCAACTATACACCGCACCACAGTAACTCTAACTCAGGAACCAATACCTGCAACAAACCTCAGTGCCAACTCTGCCCACATATCTACACCAGCGACACTATTACAGGACCTAACCAGATCAGCCACACCATCACAGGTTCATTCACCTGCACATCTGCCAATGTAACATACACCATCATGTGCAAGCAATGCCCCTCTGCTATATACATCAGCCAAACTGGACAGT